TTATATAACCCCAAACACAATGACACAGTCAGCCCTTTGCCAGGTATAAGTTATAAACCCCATTTATGGAATTATAACCCCTTTATAACCATGTATGTATTTTTTGACAACTGGTTTAGGACGGGAAAGTCCAAATCGTACCACAAACAGACCATTTTTAGCTTCTGACGCCCAGGTATCCGCGCCGCCATGCGCGATGAGCGTGAGGATGATTTGGCGCTGGATGAAGCGCTGTCGGCGGGAGATGCCATGTTGATTAACATAATATGGAAAACTCCAACTTGTGCTGATTAAATCATGGTAGATCACATATTTTCTGATTACTGCAATCATGGTATCATGGTAAGTTGATTTAACCACAGTGTTTTGTGGGTTAAATCGGTTTAGCTTGTGAAATCATGGCAAAACCCCAATTTGTTGTTGATTAAACCAACCATGATTAACCATGATCCCATCACTAACCATGATTATTCCATGGTTTTTGATATATTCCCATTGAATATCCCCAAGTGTCACTGGTGCCAGGCGTGTGGCGTGAACGAAGCTGTGATTTCAGCCGGCCGTGAGCTGGTTCTTGGCCTCAGCTGCAACATCGCTGTTGGTTGATAACTATGGGGGATGATATTGCCCAATATATGGAGGTCACATGATTAAATGAGCAGTGTTCGATATCTGGTTTCACCAGTTTTGGGGATTATGATGTCTAATACGATCAATAATACAGCAATTTGGGGGATTTTATAATACTACTCAATATATTGAGGTAACATATGGTTAACATATTAACCTTAATCATCAGGATTTTAACAGATGATTTTGTAAATGAGCCGTTCTGAAAACATCCCTTTACAATTCTAGTAAGGGCCTTGTCATAACGAGTTTGGCGTAAGCAAAACCCTCACTTTCGTAAGGCTGCGTAAAGACTTCGCGTAAGGGCTTCCTCAAATTGCCCCGCGTAAGGAAACAACCCACGCCCGTAAGCAAGGCAGCATGGCGTAAGCTCTGGCGCACCCAAAATAATACGACATAGGGGGTGACTGAAGGTTTTTAGAATGTCTCAAAATAGCAGTGTTAAATGTATGGTTTCACCAATTTTGGGGATTACGATGTCTAATACGACCAATAGTATACAGCAATTTGGGGATGGTAGCATGATTTAACCACCGCTTTAAATCATCAAACCTATGAGGATACTGGATGTTGGTTGATGACTGGTTCAGACTGCCCAGTTGTTTTGGGATCATCATGTGATCCACTCTCGAAATCCGGGTTTTGAACACGGGTAAGCAAAGGAGCAGTGCGGTATTTTGTCGGAAATTAACCGTAGAGGGTTGAAAAGACTTTATCATATTTTATAATGGGAAATGATGCGAAGACTATCAAATTGGAATATCATGGGCGGCATAAGTAACCAACTTGACCTGATATTTGGGTTTCTGGGTTTAATTACCGAAAATACATAATACATACTGTACATGATGATTACATACACAATACACAAACCATTGATACCAATCTTCAAATGAGATCAGCTTTCACCCAGCCGCAAAGGCAACCAATTGGCGAGCAAATCATTACAAGATCGCTCTGCACGATGAACTTTTCCAAGCCGTCAAGGCCGGTCGAAGCTGTATGGGTCACTGGTTAACAGTCACTGGGTATATAGTTACCTTTTACATCCTCTTATCGAAGGAAGTTTAGAAGTCAAACTTCCGACAATATGG